ATTTCTAATGGTGATTGAACCATGAAACTTTTTATGTAGCGTAATTATAACCTAAATTAGCTGAAAATAACCCTAGAACCTAGAGTAAACTCGCCCTTTAAGTTTTGAGGTATACATACGTCAACTGTATCACGTGACCGTCCCACCACGCCCGGGGGATAGCAACACCCATCACGTACGTGTGAATCCATGGTGTATAACCATAACAGCCCAGTAGCCGAATGGATACAGCATCGGACTCCTAAACCATTGATTCCGGGTTCGAATCCCACCTCGGGAAATGCTTTGTTTCTTTACTTTTCGACTGTTTAGTATGTACTTCTGCTGTATTCACCGTTAATTTCAAAATAAGAGTGGGGGGGATGGGATGCGGTGGCATGGCATGGAATGCGATGGGATGGGATGGCATGGAATGTGATTGATGGATGGATGCATCATTGCATGGATGGATGCATGGATAGATAGATAGTTCGATTTTTTTGGGTATTTTCCTTTCAACCAAACCAACTGACCAACTGAGTAATGCCACATTTAAACGTTTAGTAAAAATCCAGAATAAACTATGGTAGATGATAATGATAGTGCAAACTGACTCCCGGGAACACTTCACGAAAGCCTATGTAGGTTACATATCAAATATTATTATATTTTCTATATAATTTCATTTTATTATTTATAATTTTTGACTTTTATTTTAATGACTTTTATCTTTTGATTTCTTGTGATTTTTTACTGTTGGGATGGGATGGGATGGGATGGGATGGCATGGCCTGGGATGGCCTGGGATGCGATGAGATGGCATGCGATGGGATGGGATGGGATATGGGATATGGGATGGGATGCGGTGCGATGGGATGGCATGGGATGGCATGGAATGCGATGGATGGATGGATAGATAGATAGTTCGATTTTTTTGAGTATTTTCCTTTCAACCAAGCGGTCACCAACTGAGTAATGCCACTGATTTCCAGGGGGCAACGCCGGGTATCCCGCTAGTATACATATAAAGTTGTTCAGCCGAATTTGTGTGTACGCGCATAACTAATGAACTCCGCAGCCTAGCGAAATATATTTTCAGAATCAGCACGTCTGGGAGGTGGTTCTGGCTGAAACACCATTTCAAAAAAGTTAAAAATTTATAAAAATTATATTTATCAATAGATGGCGAACAGATTAACAATATACATCACGTACGGGAAATGCTATCCCCCGGGCGTCGAGGGACAGTACCGCAACGTGGCAGCACTAGTGTTAGGATTAGGGTTAGGATCAGGGTAAGGGTTAGGGTTTTTGCATCATGATATCTGTCTCCACACCATAGATTAATTTTTGTGGATGACACCCCTATATATAGATATCCGATATATAGATATCCGATATATAGATATTTAGTGTTAGGATTAGTGTTGGAGTTAGGGTTATGGTTACTGTTAAAGGGACAGTAGCCTCTAGGATTTTACTTCATACAACTGTACTTACTGTATAAAAAATCGTCTATACCCACACGTATTTGTTACCAGATACCCAATTTAATTGTTATAATTAATTACACATCAACGCTACGAAATTTGAATGGCGCCATGACACCCACGACCGTGCTGCCACCCCGAAAAAGTTGCATATTTGACAATTTATTTTGCACGTTACAGACCGAGGGCTAATCACAAAAGTGCAATTATATTTATACCTAAATGCTATTTAACCGAACGATATTCATTTTAGGGAAATTTATCCATATTATAACTGAAACTATATGTCGTTTATAAGATATTACAATCCTTTTGCCTTTAAATGAATAAATAAGAAACACCCTCGGTCTGTAGCCCTTGGCTGGAAAGTGATTTTGCGCAACTTATCAGATCGTGCGCTTTGAGTGGCGCCACCGTCGTTGTAATCAAACTGTAGTCGTTANGCATGGCCTGGGATGCGATGAGATGGCATGCGATGGGATATGGCATGGGATGGGATGGCATGGAATGCGATGGATGGATGGATGCATGGATGCATGGATAGATAGATAGTTCGATTTTTTTGGGTATTTTCCTTTCAAAGCGGTCACCAACTGAGTAACGCCACTGACTTCTCCGGGCAACGCCGGGTATCCCGCTTGTTCTATATGTTGATACAGCTACAGGAAACTGCGATGGCTCAATTGGTAGAGTGCTCGCCTCGCATGTGGAAGGTCGTGGGTTCGTATCCTGGCCGGGTCATACCAAAGACTTGACAAAATGGTACACACTGCTTCTCTGCTTAGTACTCAGCAAAAAGAGACAGCGTGTGGAAACGGTGCCAAGAAGAGAGCCTTGTATGCGGCGGCACCCGTCAGTGAAAACTGTGAATCTCTTCACTAGCCCATTAGGCCAGTAGCTGAGTAGGGCACCCGAAAATTATTATTATTAGCTACAGGAAAACACCAACTCAGTGAATAAACATAATTAAATGAGCACCTAGCTCCAAGAAATGGTCTTTGCTAGGGTTAGAAGACCGTTTCAAATTCTTGCCCATAAAAACTTGTAGTTGGCTCGGTATCCAAACATCGCCACAGCTAGCATCACATGTAATAGCTCAAACGAATCTATAAACCTCTGGCTTGCTCGCGGTAACTGGGCGCTACTTATTTATCGAGTTATGCCATATTTTCTGAGATGAATTGGATGAAAACAACCAGACAGCCGCCATGTTCGTTGCGACTAAAATCGGCAATGGACCTGATTTTCACAGTGCGTAGGCCTAAACACAAGGCAAGTACATATCTTCGTAATGATAATTATGAAGTTGTTGTAGATTGATGTTTCCTGGTTTTCAATGTTTTAATATTTATATATATATATACGAATATATGATGCTTATTTATGATCGCGCCACCGCGAGTTGCAACGCTATGGTATGTTATGTCGTTTCGGGTTTTCCGTGTTCCGATCGAAACGCATGCGCAGTGGAAACATGGCGGTTAAAGTGAAATTTAGGTTCGGCTCTTGAAATTTACACTGTGCATGGCGAACTGAGGTATTATTTTTAATAACAACGCTGGAATACTATAAGGTGAAGGTTATACTTGATACAAAACAAGGCAGAAATGCTTAGATGATTATTTTATTTGAGATATTATATACGTAATTGTTCGGCAGTTTTTGTAGAGGTACAAGATTATCCAATGGATGGATGTCAGGCTGTGTATATTGACGTTAGTCACACAGCCTGGTCGGGCTAATGAGCACCATCAGAAACATCCCTGCCAATGGCTGTGTGGGCACCCTATATCTCCTGAAGCTAGATCTTACCCTAATAAAAGGAAAACATGGTATGCGAGAGACGGTCATTTTCTCGTTACTCGCAAAGTACATGTAGACATTGACATTCGAACTGGCTGCATGAGTGTTACTCCTTAATCGATCAACGCCAACTAAGTCAAACGCCTATCGTTAGTCTATATATTATATATATATATACTAGCATATGAATTAATTCCACAAAAATTCACGTTTACATATTACAACCGCTGAGCAACAGCCAAATAGAAAGTTAATTACTGAATGCATCACACACACACGCACACGCACACGCACACGCACACGCACACACACACACACGTGCTATATACTAGAGCTAACACGACGTGAAAATATTAAGCTTGCGATGCCACCAGCAAATTCGCAATAATATTTATATTACAACGCAGAAGGCATAAACTTTCAGTTTAGCGGACGAATACCCCACCAACACCCCTGTGGTAGGAATGCACCAGCAATGACAGAATAGCACAACCAGCCGTCTACCATTTTAAATCTTCCAGCAACTGACCGAGGTGCAGTGAGTCCTAAAATAGAAGTAAAATCAATGAAAAGGCTTTCTATTGTTTACTCACCAGCAAGACTGCACTTTACATTGTTCCGTCTGTGTCCCACAACAACTTGACAGCGAGTCAGTCCGCCATGACGTACATTGACGTCACTTGCCTACGCATTCACTAAGAAAGAATTTAGTCGAATTTAATCTCATTGCTATGCGATTATTTGTTCATGGTACAGTTAATAGACATCAGTAACTTTTTCCTAAGCATTCAAGTCATCTAAACGGATCTTAGGTTTCATTTCCAAGTTAGGGATCTGCTTTTCTGTGAACGGATATCATTGCACATTTCACATTACTTACGCAATAGCCGCAGAGATGTTCGTTAGTCTGGGCCTACAACAGGGTGGAATATCGGGAAAACGAAATATCAGCTCGATCTCTAACCACACAAAAGATCGCTGTACAATTAATATTAAGGTCGTTGACCGTCCTCTGAACAAATTATGCACTCGGGCTATTAGCAGGAATAAATTAAATCTTATTAACTTCTCTGTGTCTCGTATGGCATGCCAAATTCAGTAAAAAGCCTTACCTTTTACTCTTAGTACCAGTGCAGTGCCGTTCCTTTTTGAGTCAGGGACCCCATCATGAGCCCCTTTTGAGATCTGTGAAAGCATACGGACCCCTCCCAGAAAAAATGTTATGTGCACATAATACACACAAATTTGCAAACAATGGCCGTTCACGGACCCCTATGCCGCCGGGAATGAAAACGGCCGCGGCTACTTGCTAATCACTTATGTCATTAACAAATACCTTGTAGCGCCTAAAAACAATCAGCTCGCACAGACCTTGTTGGCTAAAGGAGCTCCCTGAGCCCATCCACGTACGGAACCCCAAAGGGGCTCCATGCGACCACAGGTTATTAGAACCCCTGCTTTTAGACTTAGTCAAGAAAAAGCGTTTAGATTTACTATGTCACCACTGCTTATTGTTTATTAATATTATTACACAATACTACAATCAGGACGAAGTCAATTAATACTTATATTATAGTGTTAATAATACACTAATAATATAATACATCAAATATATACTAGCTCTTGATACAATGATATATTATATGTATTGATTTTCTAGTCATAAATGTGTGGTACAGTCAAAACTTAAACGGTGAGACTCCGACTAAGTAAGATAATTAACCTAAATAGGAAACTAAACTATATATAATACGCAAATTATATATATCAATAAATTTCAATACTTCAAAATATATATCCAATGTTGATATAAGCTAAATGAGCCCTAACTAACTGCCATATATTTATTATAGTGAGTTTGTTAAAATTTACAAAGTTCTCCTACGTACCCTAGTATAACTCAGTATAATATATATATATATATATATATATATATACATATATATTAGAAGTAAAAGCACACAGACACCCATACAGAAATACAAAGATATGCATATAGAAATAGAATGAGGTGTCAATTTTATATTTTGCGAGCTTTTAAGAAAATGTCTCTTGGACTCTTCTTTGTGATTATTCTCGAAAGCTCGCAAAATATAAAATTGACACCTCATTATATTTTTATAGTCATATTTCTCTCTTTCTCTCTCTCTCTCTCTCTCTCTCTCTCTCTCTCTCTCTCTCTATGTATATATATATATATATATAGAGAGAGAGAGAGATACCTGAGCCAGGGTTGTAGCCAGGACAATTTTAGTGCCGGCTAATGTCAGTGATTGCGTCATATGCATAATTTATTATAATAGCAACATGGTGCTTAAGCTGTGGACACACTAGGCGATTGAGTCGGGCGACTCAATCGCCTGAAAAATCGCCTGGTGTGTCCAGTGAGTCGCCGGCGATTTTCGAGTCGGGCGACTCAGTCGCCCGAATCAAACATGTTTGATAAAATCGGGCGATTATTTGAGTCGCGCGACTTACTACTATATACAATGCGAGTATACAATGCTCTACTACGCGCGCCCGAATGTACGATTCATCAGCCAATCAAACGGTGCCATTTTCAATCATGTGACTATCAATCTAGGTGGCGAAAGATGAATCGTCGATGAATCGCGTTGAAAAATCGCCTAGTATGTACACTGAGTCGCCCGAAAGTCGGTCAACTAAAGTCCAAAGTCGGGCGACTCAATCGCCTGAAAAATCGCATGTCCACAGCTTTAGCCAGCTATACTGCATGTACTGTGCGCTGTACGATGTGATCAGATGATTTTATGCATAACTATTGTTGAGATTAAACTCGGTTGTTTTTTTTAATTAATTCTAAGTGTATCGGTTGTGATTATTTGTAGATTTCTAGAACACTGTTTTGAATGTAATTTTACACACTCAATAAGTTTTGTGCCGGTCGGAAGGATGTTATTTAAAGCTGCGTGCCGGTCGGCCAACACCAGAGCCGGCTATTACTGACCGGCACCGACCGGCATAGCTACAATGGTGATCTGAGCATACTAACATATAGCACAATTATACCTGCTTCTTTTCCATTTTCTTTGCTCTACATAAAATTGACATAGAATGCATCTAACCAGTAGGTGGTAAAAAACTATTGCATACACAAATAATACCAGCATATAACCAAATGTGAACAAATTAATTTTCACCCCCACGGTATTAAGGATAATTTAAAACACATTTCTAAGTAGCATTTTCACTGATAACTATTAGGAAGAGGGAGAATTATTTCCACGACTAATTCTTCGGTAACCAACCGTCGATTCTATTAACTCATTTTTGAAAAAATAAAAGCTTAGCCACAGGTCAGGATAAATAATAACGTTTGGAAAAACTTGCCTGCTCGAGATCATTATAAAAAACAACTAGACATCGTTCGTTGAAATGCAAACAACAAGAAAGAAATGCATAACGATTGTGTTATAATATCAATCACACAAAATGCACATACATTCAATTACTATCGTTTTCATCACGGGATAATCATATCGCACACTATAAAGGAACACAGTGTGTCCCACGTGCGCGACATGTAAAGGCTCGCCGAAGTAATTTTAATCTGTTCAGATATGTAATGAGCAATCATCACTGTATAAAACCTGGTACATTTGAAAAAAACAATAAGGTGTAGGAATAATTGCATGTATGGTTAAAGTTAAACCACATTGCACCAGATTCAAATTACATCTTCGTGTTGGTAGAACTTTAATAGCGCGTATTGTTGATTGCCCATTCATATTTCATTATATATCATATATTATTTTATATTTGCATAATCAATCAATTAAAAACCACTGCAGACGCCATTGCTCATTTTTTAATTTTACAACCAACATATGCTCCATTCAATTTCGTCATATTTATATCACAGTTTATTACCGACATTTAAACAATTGAACTCGTGTAGTAGGAGAGAACACTTGTGATTATTGCTATATATAGTCTAGCTTATTCTATACGCAAAGTTTAATCCGCGATATCCACAGTTATACCTGATGCCGACTTCCTTTAACAGCTAATTTGCCAATATCTTGCTTATGCCTCTTCTCTACTGCGTTCTTTCTGAAAACAGACATTGGTAGTTCCCTTTCACCTTGTAACATTCTAACGCAATGATCTTGCTTATATGATCAAAATTATGACATAAGGCCATGTAGAAGTGCCAACGAGGGCTATAGTACTAGATCTAAATTGTGACCATTATTTTGCTTTGTGGTGTGGTGTAGCGATGGTGGAATGTGATTTCATACAACAACCAGAAAATATAAGAACTTGCACCATCTAATTACCGTCAAAATTCTGCACATACGTTCCAGTGATTCAACAGATTACAGATCCACAGATTAACAGTGTTTTCATTTTACTTAGTTAGAGCTATCGTCAGAATTGGAATGTAGAGCGATTCTCAAATACTTAGAAGTAAGGCACTGGGGTTTTGCAAACGATTTCGGACCACAGTTTCGGTTTGGCTTTTCGTATATGCGTGCCTTGTCCATTTCGTCAAAAGTATAGTATCTCGTGCTAGTAAGTGTGAAATTGTCAATAGTTCAGTTTCTCACATACCTATGCATCTTGAAATTGTTTAAAGTTTGGTTTTTTGCCCTTAGCATGCTTTATGGAATTCATCAAATGTTCAGCATCTCACGTTTAATAGCATATATCGCGCAATTTGTAAAAGGTTTGGTCTTCATGTTAGCATGCATTGCAAAATTTGTCACAAGCTTGGCATCTCGCGTTAGCGTGCGTCGCAAAATTCTACAAAAGCTTAGCCACTCGCGTTCACATGCAGTGTAAAATTCACCCAAAAGTTTGGCCTTTCGCGTCAGCGTGCGTCGAGAAATTCATTGAAATGTTTGGCATCTCGCATTAGCATGCGCTGCAAAATTCGTTGAAAATGTTTGCCAGAGTTCCTGTGGGATTGAGGCTCCTGCCGGTTGCGGTTGTGTCATTGTCATCATTGCGCAAACTCGTGCTTGCAGAAACCCGGCCCGTTGACGGGCTGCGCCGGTACTCCTCTCCTGAGGGCATAAACGAAACACCCAATTACATCAAACAGTCATCGGTGGAAAACCTGACCTTTACCGATACAACTTTAGAATAATATAGGCAGTGATCCAAAAGGTTGCGATGCAATGCGCAAAGGTTATGAGCAAGTCACGCAGGCAGTGGCATCACAACATGATTGGGGGCCTGTAAGCAAAAATGAAATTGGTGCCCTAAACATGAATATTTTTTGATTGACCGTGCGCCGCAGGCGAGTGCCGGAGGTAGGAAGCGTGAAGGGGGGGGGAGGGGTCTGGGGGTTCAGCCCCAAATTTTTTTTTAAATATAGACGCTCTAAAATACAATTTCCAGCATTCTGAGGCTATTTTGAAAGCTTGGGGGCCCCAAAACTTTCAAACTGGGCAACGGGGCTAGGGCCCGTAGCGTTTTGCTACGGCAGCCCTACAGATGTGACGCCCCTGCATGCAGGCACTTAATTACACTTGATTACATCCACTGTTACCGAGACAGGAAGAGCAACCAATTTCTAGAAGCCTATCGAATTTTGGTATGCACAACCAATTTAGATAGTTAAACTTGCACATAAAGGTCAATCAAGGAAAACATTCAGTTTCCTTTACGAACATGCATTCATTCTACAGCAGTGCCTGCTAACAAAGGTCTGATTGCACACCGTAGAGTGTATGCATGTGAGAAGGAAGTAGATTCCGAATGTTTGGAAGAAGGTCTGAAATGATTGCGAACAGACTCGTAATGTTTGGATTAGGAATCATTGGAGGTCGATGTGCCATCAACCATTTGGTGCCATGGTTGAGTGGGTCGGGAGCGCGTGTGGATTTACTGAGCCACGGCGGCGAATCGCGCATGAATTTACCTTAGGATTTACTTGAATTCAACGGATGTGTGACAACTACGAAGTGCTTACACTCGTGCTGAGCTGTGTTGCCAGGGGGACTTTAACCATTACATAGTTACAAGACTTAAATTTACACATAAATTTAGAAGAGTAAACCTAATAATATTTAAAATGTAAATTAAGCAAATTACATTTAAAAGTAATATTAGTATGGCTAGTCGCAATATAGTTAAGATGTTTTATGACAAAGACTAATCTTAGGACTAATAACCGTTCCACGAAACAGTTCAGAGGTTAGGAACAGGGACCGATGTAAAGATAAACCATCGCTCTGACAGTAGTTTAGGACTATACGTGAGAACCAAGACATTATTAATTTTAGGACTCGCCTCAAGCGACCCTCGGCAGTGTAGCTGGGTCAAACAGGAGTAAACGACTCGCTGGGCACCCTTCATCAGAAAACTTGCGGTAGCGGCACCGCGTGATGACGCCACACCTGAACGTTACCGCGTGATGAGTGTGACGAATGATGAGCGCTCTCGACTAATGAATATGCAGATTGCAATTCGTGCGACGAGCTTTCGCGGCCGTAAAATGCCGGGCCGAATAATTAGCGTCGCCGCGGCAACAGACACATTAGCATAACCAGCCCGGGGCAGTTGTGCAAAAATAATGCGTGCCACCTGCCACACCACGCCGCGACTGCGGCGATGTAAAACATGGGTGTGATGGACATCGCAAGCACCAATAAGTGATTACATCTATTTACGAGCGGTCGCCCTATCGCTACACTGTGCGGCATGCCCGAGCGTTGCGATCATGATGGATGGAATAGACTCGCGATGATAGAGGTCATGGAAATGAATGGCAGGATCCAAGGCAGTTCGTAAATTATATTAGGGGTACTTGGCCAATAATCGTTTTGAAAAAATTGGTTGAGCCTTAGGCTTAGACATCTGCATTGTCGTCGTCATCACCATCACTGTGAATTAGTAATGGACAGCAAAAATATCATCACCAACATTAGTGTCAGTTCATACTTTCACAACACACAATTGCAAACAGTCCCCCCCCCCCCTAAAGGACGGCTAGAATAAGTTTGGGCGGTCAACCATGCGCTAGCACACAGCACAGCGCATGGTTGTCCCCGGCAGCGATGATGCTGAGCTATGTGGCCCGGAATCTGCGGGGCTTCACCTGACCATGCGACAGCGGTGCTCCTCGATGCGCGATGCTGCCGTCTTGACGTCGTTCACGTCTTCGTTGCTCCACAGCCGCTCTGCAACGGCAGACGCCCGTGGCCTGCAAGCAAAGAGTTAACACAAATTTGACCGGCTAGCATTAGAAACAACTCCTGCAGCATTAAAGCAGGCTTCTCTATATGCGTAGGAAGACACAGGACAGCTCTAGCAAAGACCATATTAGTTGGCTTTATATTAGTAGTATAAACTACATCACTCGATACAGTCAAACCTCCATAATAGGTTCACTCAGGGAAATTGGCAAGTGTTCTTTATTGACAGATCTCCATCCCATAGTTTATTTCAGCATATAAATGTGACTTAATGGGAAAGCCAACTGTTCCTTATAGAGAGTTGTCTGTTCTACAGGATTCTGTTAATACAGGATTTATTGTAAGTGATACCTGCATAAATCCTACGCTAAGACCTGCACAGATACAGCAGCTTGTAATCACACACGCTGTGTGAATTTGGCAAATAGTTTCCTCAGCTTGAAACTAACGTGTTTTTCACTATAAAGATATTTCACCCACGTGTATAAATGCACGTGGCAATGACAAATATAGACTATGCTCACAGTATCGTTGCATTCTTATTTATCGCCACCAAAGACCATAAGCAAATGCATACAGCTTTTTCGTCACTGCCAAACCTCACAAGAACCACACAATACCTCATAAGAACACTTTACCTCATGTGTTCTCACTAATTACTGAATTAACACTTTACGTGGGTCGGAATTTGTACGTGACATGGTCTTTTGTTAATATTGCGGCTCCGAGTCATTCTTGTCACATGCCAAGACATGTTCGTAACGCGCAACGTCAACCGCTTACCACATGCACCCATGTAACTGGCCTCCCCTACCTACATAGAATGTTATTTAACCTTCACGCAGCATTTAATAAAGAATGAAAACGCAACAACAACATGCCTATCATTCCCATTACAGCGCCGATTCTACAGAATTCGATATGCCTCGGGGTTTATCGCAATAATGCAAGCAATAACGTAATAGGTGGAAGACGATGAGTGAGGACGACGCTCGGCTGCCACCATCGTCTTCTAGAACAATGACACGGTAGACTTAATGGCGACTTCAAGCCGTGATCGGTATGCAGGTAAGTGCACGATGTGGGTTTCTGCGGCAGCGTATATTGCACAATGTGCGGACCACCCGGGCTTGCTCAATCCGGTTCTAAAATTCCCTAGACTGTTTGCATGCAGTGGTTATCTAGACATTGCTTTCACTTTCAGTTACAGTGCTGGACCCGGTGGGGGAAATCATGCGGATTGAACCTGCTGACACTTTCCAATATACTTATGCTTGCAAGATTCAAATTTCAAATTGTCGCCTTTTCTTTCAAATCCGACATGGGTGAACACTGACTGTGGTAACTACATACAGCATTGTGGGTTTCTTTTGAAAATAAACTAGTCAACATTTAGATATCATTTTGGGTAGGGGTTAAAAATTCCAAAGACAGCTACTGACTCTGAATGAAAGACTGTGAGCACGTTTCGCGATTCTTTCAATAAAAGTCCGCATTTAAAAACGTTTCGCTTCTCACCAAAAGTCTACACCTGAGAGCAATCCATCCCCAGGGGCATCAGACCATGTCATTGAAACTACCATTTTACCAGCTGCCCTATGGCAGTCGACTAAGGTGGGGTTTCTCATTACGGTACTACATCACACATTCTAACTACGGTGGTCATTGCCTTATGATATCACAAACAAAAGATACCACATGTAATCTTTTCATGTCTTTTTCCATGCACAGTCTAATATTACGTTGTGAGGCAGGTACATTGTACAGGATTATAGGACAACTACCCCCCGGACAATTAACCCCCACCCCAGACAACTACCACCTGGACAACTAGAAACGAGCAGTTGTCGCCAACTATATGTATCCCCCGTGATCTAGTATGAATGGAATATCTCTGTAAGGACGTAGAAGGCAGGTAAAGTTAAATAAGTCACAAAGACAAAGGTTTGTTAGACAACTGGTCTGCATATATACAAATATATGCCTCCATTACACTGACAAGCAGGAAACATTGTTGGAACTACTTATCCATATTGCAATGCTTTTGCATCTAAATATGCATTTGCATGAAAGGTGCCATAATTTCATTTAATAATTTCATTTTCCTTTAGCTTTTGCACTATATAATAGCTGAATCACTATAGCAGAGTGGCGCACGGCTAACGACTGCAGATGTTACATAGATCGATACTCACAGGTTTAGTTAGGCCGATGACACAGTTCCGTAGGGTGCTGAATATTTCGTCGATAAGGACATTGCCCGACTGGAGGTCCTGAAGGTATTAGAA